ACGGCGTCAGAAGTCATGATGATGCTGACGCTGGAGCTGGCGCCGGCGCCCCCTCGATGGCTACGAGGGCGATGATTTCGGTGATGATACGCGACCGTCGTGAACGTTCTCATGAAGGAGCTGATGGTGACAATGAAAATGACAACATTGGTGGTGATGACTACGATACAATAATGAAGGTAGTGATGAAATTCATGATGGCAATGATGGTGATCTACATATCACGCCCTTGCGAGCGATATTAGAAGGGATGGTCCTAAGATTTGGGCTGTAAGATTTGTATAGGCCCTGTTAACTTCAAGACTTTAGGAAACCCTTTAACCCTATACAGAAAGTCCTGTGAAAAAAGGGCGACTCTGAACTGTCGACAAGCAAAAGGGAAATACCGAAGAAGCTAGCAAAGCTGAAACATACAGCCGCTACAATCAAGCAACATGACATACAAAGTAACAAACACTGTTAGCAGGGAAAAGTTTATTGCGAAGATGAGATTAGATCTCAATCAACAAGCTCCCTTGCAAACCTTCCACCTCGCACTTGTTCTCGCTGCGCCCAAACGTTCTTGGCAATATTTTGCTAGGTGTACAAACAACCAAAATAGCGAGCACACCACGAGGTGTAGCGGCAACAAGTTCATTTAAATGGCACGAAACACGTGCAGGTAGGATTGCATCAGGACCGGGAAAGCAAAGTCACCTCCGACAGATTCCAAACCTCTTCAAGTGGTGCTCTGTAAGCCCATCGAGTCCGCGACCCCACCCTTGAACCCTTGTTCCCCTGAACCCAGCAACCCTAAATCTTAAAACCCTAAGCCCTTTTCCCCTAAACTCAGCATTCCCAAACCCTCAACCCTAAAACCCTAAACCCTGTTCCCCTAAACCCAGCATCCCCACCCCAGACAGAGTCCTGGACATCCTCATCCTCAGGCAACTCGGGCTTGACAGCAGTGATGTCAGGTAGTCTGTTCAACGTGTCGCTGAGGCTTTGCGACATGGCGCTCCGATGCAAGGGCTCAGGATCTAGGGTGGTTTGGGGTTGGGGAGCTGGGGTCTAGGTTCCAAGTAAGCGTCTTGGTCCTGGCATTTGCGTTCACGGCCCTTTCGCACTTAGTAGCGACAGCAACAGGAAGGGCAGAAGAATGGGCTCAACGTCTGCTGGGAGTCGAACGTGACACTACGTCACTTTCGCAACAGGCCATACCCCAATTCGGGGGAGAACATAACAAGCATTGACTGACTGCAATGAGTGCTAGAGATGTGGAAGATTATTTAAACCCTGTGCAGCTGTGGTCAAGGCTGCAGGCGGGAGGTGCGCGAAGCAAGATAAGGGCAGTTGGCTCAACAAAGGGGACTTGCTTACGCGTCCGCACACCAGGGATTCAACTTTGTGGTAGTTTCCACACATGGGTTCAGGCGTAGATCCAAGACCTGGATATTCCCTTTCATATAGACCCGCAAGAAAGGACCACCACTCGAGGAGAATTGAAACAGAAATTGTCGTTGTATGCCGGCTGGTAAAACCACAACCTCGACACATTTTCAACACCCACTAGAATATGCAAAAACCCGTAGCGGATAGGCTTGCAGATTCCGTAGTCATGGGGTAGACATAGAACATGGGGGCCTGTTGCTTCTCTGTTGCCCTGTGCTTCTTTATCTTGCAGCTACTATACATAGGCCTTCCAACCATACCCACATGTCCTCCTGCTCGAAAGTGGCAGGCCCAGGCATACCCACAACTATCAGGATTGGACCGGAATCCCTTTTCTACATTCCGCGTACATACCACAACATCGATCACACCACTGCTTAAACGGCAGAAGCACCCCTAGAGTGAATTTTAATAAGGGCAGCAGGAGGCAGAATATGTTTCACTTTCTGGTACGCTGACCCCTAAACCCTATGAGCCCCAAACCCTAATCCTTCATCCCAAAACCTGAAACGCATGAGGTTGAGGAATGGTGGCTCCTGGCCGGGTACCGGATTGAAGCTTCCTGGCCACGAGAAATGGTGAGGGGAGCTTTAGGGCTTAGGAATCGAGAGCTGAGGCTCAAGGGGATTGGGATTTGGTTTAGGGTTGCTGTTGGGTTTAGGGTAGGGTGTGGAGTTGAGGTTTAAGGTTTGCGGCTGCCGATTGGGGCTGAGGGTTTAGGGCTCAGGGTATTTGGTGTAGGATTCAGGGTTGAGGCTTCAAAGTTTATGGTTCAGGATTTAAGGTTTGGAGCTGAGCGTGTAGGGCGTGAGGGTAGATGCATATATCTAGAGTCGCACCTACTTGGGATCCCGAACAGGCAATTCCTGCGGAGAAATATCCATTGCATGATTTGATGATTTCTGGTCACTCCAAAATTATGGCCCACATAAACGCGCACAGGAATTCCTCAGGAACCCGTGTACAAACTCACGAGATAGCCCAAAAATCTACTTCACATCAGACGGTGCAAGACTTCCTCTTGAATGGCCCAGGGTAACTGTATAGTGCAGACCGGAGAAATATCCATCTCCTGCAAAAGCAGACGCGCTCTTCAGAGCCCCAAGATTTTCGCAGACGTTTAGTCTCACCAGTTTCTTTTAAAGGTCGTGAAGCCAGGAATGCAATACCGTGCTGATCTTGACTGGCAATGCCTACAACGACAATACGGGAAACCGTCGGAAATCAAGAAAAGGTTGCAACAATGCTAGGATGGGTGACCAGCGGCAAGAACGCGATCATGAAAACAAGACGTTACAGTTTTGTCCTAACTTGTCTGGGACCATGCAGGTTCGATGCACCAGGAAGGCAAGCAGAAAGAAGAAACAAGAGAATTTGGCACTTACCCCCGCTTCCGCGCTAGTGTTGCACTTGGCACCCGCAATCACGCAGGTTATGCGCGCAGATTGCGTACTTGACGGATGCAGCCTTTAGCATCACAGGGGCTGGGTGCAAGGCTTGGAGTTGGAGAAACAAAGGTTTAGGGTTTCAGGGTTTAGGGCTCTGCTGAGGTGGATGGATAAATTCTTACACCATTTTTTGAATCCCTCAAGATATATGGCAAACCCTAAGATTCAGATTGTGCAAGATTTCTCCTGTGCGGAGTATTTGTCCCAACAGTACCGGGCAAGCAACAAACAACATGGACTCCTGCCTGTGAGACACCTGCATGCAGCTGATGGATCTAAAGGCAAGACTTTGCACACTGCGGTGGTGATTTGGAGAGTAATTCCTAAGACTGGTCGCCCCTGCAAGCCTATGCGGGCATAAAGGTTGGGGCACACATGAAGTACAACACTGATTTCTGTGCGCTTGTCCTGCGAAATCTTTTGACTTATAGCTGCCGTGCTGTCATGTCTGTGTATGAAGCGAACGGGGGTGCGCAAAAAGCCCTTGCATTTGCAGATGCAAAGCCGCATCCACATGTGGGGTTCCATAAGCAGGGAGGCCCACATGCACACACCCCAACAAGAGGCCACAATCAGGGTAACCTTCAAGTCATCTTCCTACATATGCTACAGAAAGCTGAATCCAGATTCTGAACCTGGTTAGAGGCTGGAAACAACTCGGACCTTGCTTACACCAGAACCCTGAACTGCACATTTTGAAAAAAGAATAGGTCCCCTTAGACCCTAAGCCCTAAACCCTAAAATTTAAACTTGAAGCCCGTGCAAATACAACCCTGCTTCTGAGGCGTGGGCGCGGGCCAGGACGCAGGCACCTCGTCACAGCTCGCGTGGACATTCCAGAAATAGAGGACCCAAATGCACCCAATATAGACCCAAAAATATTCCTGCTAAGCCTCAAGAAGCCCCAGGCAGAAGCAAGGCTTTCCACAGGGTTTATGGCTTGGGGGAAGGTTCTACAGCCCTGGAACTCCAAATCTCCAGCCCAGGAACACACAAGGTGAGGGCTTACAGGGATTTAGGAGTTTCCCCAAAATTAAGGATACCATTTTTGGCGTCCCTTAGAAATAAGGATGATCGCATTTTGGCAAGCTGCAGAGCCGTTACAGTGCTGCTTTGCTTGACTGTTTACCACAGTTCTCTGCTCATGCATCGGTACCTGATGAGCTCTGGATCCTCCACAGCTTGCACTGATAGACCCCGAACCCGACACACAGTAAATCTAGAAACACTCCAGCCGCTTAACCTCCTGTTAGCCTATGTCCTGTGTACTTGTACCAAAAACCCTATGAGCTGAACACTTGAAGCTGTAAGTATCGCCCACTGACAACAATGGAAGAACACTGCCAAGATGACAAGCTGACAGCCGCAAATAACAATAGCACCCATACTGCTAACATAAAACCTATACAATTTTAGCAGCCTCAGGCATAATCCTGGCAGCAACAAGAAGAAGCCACCAGACCCTAAAACGTGAAAGATCCAGGCCTGCATCAGGTGGCTGGGCGTCTCCCGAAAGAGTACTGAAGAAGTCTCCAGGTGGATGGCCTCATGCTCCACGCCCATGAAGATGGCCCTGAGATCATGCGGTTAGGGCAGAGGAATTCAGGCGCTCAATTAGAAGGATGACCATGATATCATAGAGGCAATGGATGGATGGATTTGTAAGTCGGGACCAAAGCGGAAGCAACAGCGCTACGGTTAAGCATCAGAGGGCTGACCTCTTGACCTGTGGCAAGGAGAGTGAGGCGTCACCGTCTGCGTGGGTATTGCAATGGCATTGCGTGCCACAGGCTCTTGCGAAGCAGGCTGACAACCCGTACACATGCCAATGCCACCTGATTGCCGCCAACACCAAACGGTGATGCATTTAGTCAAATGCTGCGGTGAGGAACCGATGTAGAGAACCCATCTTCTTTGGCTTTGCCTTCCGCTTGGGTGCAAGCGTATTACTGCTTCGCTGAAGCTGGCATTTTTCTTGGACACCGAGGTCGCATTGTGTCTTTCGACTAGGGGTAAGCCTGCTCCCAGCTGTAAGAGCCATATTGATAAGACCTTATTGGACAGACACAAGAATCCGCCCAGCCCCCCGCCCCCCAGACGTGTTCCTTGATATGGATCGCTTCACTGAAACATGTGAGACACCAGAGCCAGCTCCCTGTTCTGTTTTGGCACAACCTCCCAAGAAGAACCAGACCAACTAGATGAGTACGGGATGACCCATTCAACATGATACTTCTACAAAAAACTACTTGAGACAAGGGCACTAACTCCAGCTAGCGCATAAACATGTCTTGAGAATCAAGACATGCATCGCAACCAGTCAACCAGTCTGATGCCCCAAGCTCTGAATCTCTTTGCCCTTTCAAGCCCTAGGGTCGTCCTGAAGTTCATGCAATCTACACGTTCCGTAAAATATGTTCATATGCACAAATATTCTATATAGCTGGAAGGACTATAACTTTTCGTCACTTTCTGGGGCTGGAACCACAGGGGATGGTCCCAGGTAATCTTCACCGGTGCCGCGCCGTCGGCATCTTCAAGGGCTGGATGTGTGGCAATAACCTGGGAAAAAGCAAAAGCCCACACAGCATGGTTTAGACCCTAAACTAAACGCTGAACCCTAATTTGGGGCTTTGGGGATGCGATTCAAAAACCCTGAACCTCTAAGATCATTCGATTGCAGGGATCAGGGCCTGAACTATAGCTCTCAAGCCCCCGACCCCTGAAGCGAGATCTTCGAAACGTGCAGTTAGGGTTTAGGGTTAAGCGAGTACCCAAGCCACTGCAGGAGCTAAGGCTGTTCATATGAAAGTGCCTGAAAAGCCAATAAACTCCATAACAACATGGCAATGAATGTCTCTCACAAAATGAGAGTTCCCCGGCGAATCACTAACAAAACATGGTCCATCCTCATGATGCAGGATCCACCATACCAAGGCACATAGATCCCAAAAATTGATTACGGTCCTTAAACGCGGGGACGCCCCCACATGAAACCCTTACAACGGCAATAGCACCCTATATGGCCCCCAGCATGACCCCGGTGTCCATGTCATGCTCCAATTTCTTTTCCATTTGATTTTTCATTCTTGCCCTGATCCCTAAATCCTAAATATCCCCCTACAAGCGCTACAAGCCCTCTCAAAAAACCCTACAGGCGTCCCTATATGGGGGTTTAGGGTTTGCGGGGTTTAGGGTTTGCGGATACCTTTTTGGGGGTCCTTTTAATACTACTTTAGTATTTTGGGGTCTGTATTGGGGTCCCCCTATTTTGGGAAACTACCAAATAGCCCCCCTATGTCGGCAGCCTTCACAGCAACCCATGACGAACAAATCTCTGCACTGTGGGGTTCCCGACCTCGCTGACGATCTTGTACACTTTCTTTCGGTACTCCTGAACCTGCAGGGCATGTAGGGTTCAAAAAGTAACTGCAACGGCCTAAATGACAGATTGTTGGGATATATATATATACACATATATATATATATATCATGCAAGTTTTGTAAGGACTGTAATGGGAATGATCTTGTTAACTATGCAGGCTTGTAAGGTTTTCGCTGTGGGGCCTTACGGCTTGGCATACAGGGAATGCATGTAACCTGAACCCCAAAAGTACGTAGGCTCTTCTCATAGTTTGAGCCATCATCTTAGGCTTAATGCGAGCACTAGAACAATAAAAGACACCATATTTAAAGAAACTTTGTTGGATATAATTAGGCTCCAAAGACTAGCTACAATTAGGTGGCTTCTCGTATGGGGAAAGGGACCAGATATTTAAGTGGAACCTATCCTGATAATAGAGATATTCAATACACTCCTATTCAGTTTCTAATTCATAGAGGTCCTAGAGGCCCCCATGACGCAGGAAGGCATTCCTAGTCTTTTTTAATTGAGCTCCAAGAGTCCCAATCATTCTTTTAATCTGGCGCCCCTCATTCCTTATTCTGGCGGGCGGGGGGCCCCCAAATTACTCAAGTGCTCGGATTACTGTAAACCCTAAACCCTAAACCGGTAGGGTTCACAGTTCCGACGTGGCGAGGCTGCTGCAGGTAAGCTTTTTCTCTCCCCTTTCTGCGCCTAAAACCCAATCAAGTAAAATTTCTATAGGTTCAAGGAGTTCTGCCGGCACTGGGCTTACAAACTTCTAAGGTAATGTGCTTGCAGCGGTTGGGATTTCGATCTGTTTAACTAAGGACTTTTTCGGGAAAGCTTCAACATGCCCAGAGGCCGTAATTACGCGGTTTATTGTTTAGGCTTAAGGGTCCAAGAGTAAGCAAGTTGAGGTAAAAAGCAAAGGGAATTCAATAGCGTATGTTTCCGAACCCCCAACATCCTGGATGCAGTGACTTCTGCCGGGCTCCCATGGACGTGAACACCAACTTTCCCGAAGGTCCTCCCCTCAAAATGCAGAACACCCTAAACCGCTAAGTCTAAACCCTAAACCCTGAAAGCCTAAACCCGAAACCCTATGCTAAGTGGGAACCCAGGCAGACGGCATGTGAAATTTGAGTAAGCTTCAGTCCATTCGGAGAAGCTTGGATATTGGCAAGAGGCGGCAAAAGGATGTCAGAGCTATAGTCCCCCTTAAGTCGAATAACAAGATCCCCATATCCCCATATACCCCATATTCTATCTAAGCAAGGGGGACTATCAAGGAATGCAGAACGCTATGCCACCGCTGGGAGGCTGCTTTCGCACCCAAATCTCCTTATCGCCAAGCCTTCCAATCTTTTTTGGAAAATCTCAGTGATTGAGTACTGTTAACGGACACTAAACCCTCAAGCCCTAAACCCTAAACCCCAAACCCCAAGGCCTATCAAGAAAGGGAAGTACCTTCAAAACTGTAGGGAAAGTGCCGGAATGTGCCTCCTTCACAGTGGGCCAGACCATGTCCTTGGATCTGCAGTTAGATGTTTAAGTTTTGGGTTTTAGGGTTCAGGGTTTAATTGGGGTTAAGGGGTCAGGGCTTAGAGTTCAGGTTGGGGGCATAGGCTTAGCATGCATGGGAGATTTCAAAGTTACGGCCAACAGAATTCTGAATTTACAGGTCCGTATACAGGTCATAGAGCGACCTGTCCCAGAACCAGGTAAAGTCGGCAGCATCGTCATATTTCGGGTGCTATGATAAGAAATGGGAAAGCTCTGAAAAGCCCTCGAAGCACGGAATTCCCTGGTGAGGCCTTAGGAAGGTTGCCAGGGCCCCTACTACTATTTGTAACCCAGATGCTCTTTAATTCAAGAACACTCTGAAGTGTTGAGGATGGGCCTTCTTGGCATTGCCTTTCACTGCTCATGTAAGGCGTGCACCAAAGCTACCATTTGGAGATTACATCGGGACCATAATGAGAGCTCACTGGCTCAGGGCACTGGGATATACACAAACTCCAGTACCTTTGTCGACCTTCGTGTGCAGGATGCAGGTATCCCAAAATTTTGCACATGTCTAGATGTGGGCCCCGCAAGCTCATAGGGAAAAAGGCTTCTGGAACCTGCATGAACCTGCCACAACCCATGCACCTCCGAGAAAACGCGTTGAATGCAACTGTAAAAATATGTCGCATTATTGCGAGCAAAGAGAAAGCCAAGGCACGTTCTTGTGCATGTCGTCCCAGAGCATCTCGTCCACACCCACCTCCAACCGAGATGTCGCATGCGCGCATTCTGAAAGGACGAGCCCTGATAGTAGAAATTAGGGTGAAGGCCAAAAAAATGGTAGAACCCGCGACTTGGTTTAGCATGTGCAGTGGAGTGTAGCTACAACATTCGAGGCAAGGCCCCAAGGGCAACGAAAGTAGCCGACTTTCCCCATGCACTTGACAGCTGGAACACCCCAACTTACACCGTCGCCTAGAGGACTCTGAGCGAGAATCTTTTCAACGAATCGCAGGCTGCCAACTCCTGTCAGGCTCCATCGACAGTGAGGCTGCACGCGAGGCTTTTGCACAAGCGATTGTCACCTGCCTGAGATGCTGCGCACAGCGCTGATCATGTACTTTGTATTAACTATGAGTTTGTGGCCTAGAGTTGAACTGGTCTCAACCACATGACGTGATTCATGATAGACTTGCCGGATCAAACCGGGTAGCTGCTGTGGTTTTTGCTAACACCCGCAGGTAGTCATGTATCATGGGGAGTACCTGGAGCCCCTTGCTGGCGTCGACGGGCAGTTGACGATGGCAACAGTGCCCTTTTGCCGAATTCAACGACAGACTCCATTCTTCTTGAAGGTCTTATGCATCTTAGGCACAGAAGTTGCTATCGGTCCACGAATGTACCACTCACATAGAATACCCTAAACGCAAGACCTACTGGTACTTAGGGGGGAGTGTGGGAGTGAGTATGAGGACCATTAATCACGGGGGCTTATGGAGTTTTATAGGGATATTGTAATGATCCACTCCCCCACTCTCCCTTAAGTACCAGTAAAGGTTACTCGGAAACATGCTGTCGCTCAGCTGAGCGAAGGTACCGGCGGTGAGTTGGCCGCTATGCCTGGCCCAGATTGCACGCACTTCCAGACCTCTGGGAGGGTCTAAGAATTAAATGCCCTATACAAGCACATCACAAGCCTAATATAGCTCCCCATCATATTCTAGGGGATCCTATAATAACTCCTATACAATTCGCCATATTGTTCTAGGGGATCTGAATAACAGCAACTGCACGAAAGCCCGCTGGGGTTTTGGGGTTTAGGACTTGGGGTTGCCAAATCAGGATCACCAAGAGCACCCTGAAATGGCATGGTGAGGTACCAGCATTTATTTGGGATTCCTGCTGCGAAGCGGTGGCCCCTGACACTTAAATGCGCAATGTCTCCCATATACCAGTCTACGTCCAAAAAAGCGAAATGCTTGCTTGCATAAACCGTGTCAATTTCGTAATACTTGAGAAGTTCCCAGATGATCCAGCCTCCTGGAGGCCAAGCAGGTTCAGATTGCAGCTCCACATCCTCATGCCAAGAACCAACAGCATTGCACATGCTGATCGGCTTTATACTTAGGACAGTTCTGTTTGCAACACAACTGATAGCAGCTGTTCGCAGCTTCGGGGGGGGAAGAGCATGTAACTTCCTCGGCCCTTGACACGAAGAAGGCTGCATTGAAGTTCGTGTGTCCAAAGTGGAAAACACACAGTGAGCAGTGCCTGCTTTGCATCGTCTGGTGCATAAGTGGACCTACCTGGCCAAGCTAGGCACTGGATCTCAACTGTGAATCCAGATTCGTGTGGTGGTCTGTGTGCGCGTGTCTGTGCGCATGGTCACAGCTATACATAAGATTGTTCATGTGCGAAATAACGATCCATTCTCTTTTTCCCTCTCTATAGACCTTCCTTGATCCTTGCGGTATCGACCCCCGCCAAGGCTGCGCAACATTTCGAGATTTGAGAACGTCCGAAACGAAACTACTCCAGCCCTGGAATGATTGTATACTTGAGGCAGGCCTGATTTCAAGACATCCCAGGTCGCAGCATCACTACCTGTGAGCTTAAGCTTACCACATGCCGGTGCGCCCACCTAGCTTCCCCTCTCTCATGTCCCCTTCTGCTTCAGGAAGGCTAATCAACGGCGGACCCACGCACAGGAGCATACGTTCCAAAATCCTGAACCCATCAAAAACTCTAAACCATGAACCCCTAACTCCAGTAAACCTATGAGACCTCAAACTCTAAAGCCCCAAACTTGCAAAGTTAAAGCCAGCGCAGCTGGAGCTCTGAGTTTCGCCGGAACATGGAGCCCCTCATGGCAGGTACTGGGAAGCTGAAGGTGTGCAGCAAGAAGCCTGGGAGCTGTTGATGCAGCTTGGTGAGCGTGCAGGTTTAGAGTTTGAAGTCATCAGCTTAGTGCTTTGAGGGCTTGTGGGTGTGATTTTTCCAAGGTCTATCTGCAGTCGTAGCAGCATCAACGAAGGGACTGGTGAGACTGCGCATCTATCCCGTCTGCAAGCTTCTGCCGAACAAGCAGAAGGATAAGCTTGAGAGGAGTAAGGAGAGCAGCATAGGATCCCATCATGACAACAGATCCTGAAACCTTGAGAACCTCAGAAAGACGACTTATGATTATCATCTATATCCTTTTTACTATTCTTATTATAACTATTGTTAATCTTACTGCGATTACCATGACTATGACCATCATATCTATCATCTGCTGCACGCAGCATTGTGGTCTTCCCTTGCACTATGTTATTACCCTCCTAACAAATGGGTTTAGTTCTTGCTTTGGGGTTATGCGAAGCAAAATTTTCAAACTATTTTCAGGACGACATTTGCTGCATGTGTCAAGAGACAGAAGAATGCCAGCCATTCCTCAGTGAGCCAGATGATTCTTCTGACCACAGAAGTGAAGGGGTGTGAGTTGTGCATCCCAGTTCTGCCCAGCGCCAAGAACAAGTTATCTCAAAAACTTTTTTGGCTTCTTCTGCAAGGTGCCAAGATAGATCCTCAGAAAGGATTGTGGCTCTGCTCCGGCCTCTGAGGTCAAAGGTTGCATCCAGCCACGTTAAAAGCCCCATGCGCAGAAGACTTCCTGACCAATCCTAGACCTCTATTGCCCGTTGGTACGTAGGATGAATGTGAACTACCGGTGGTGCCAAGAATCGACAATCAAGTGTGACATGAAATGGAAACTTGATGGTATGGTGCTCGCCTTTTACTGAAAATCGTACATGACCCCAAGTCGGTTTCAGCCTTGCGGGTAGGCGACTGCTGAATCTGGAGTTATGATACTGAAGTGCAGTAAGGTCATGCAGTGTATCAACTTTAGGTAGTGAAGACGGCAAACCTTCATCTTAGGATCCCAGCCATGTCTCGATTGAGAGCCATGCTGATTTGTTACCAGCATCTGGTAAGTGGTCAACGCTATAGTTTTCCCTTTTTTGTTCCCCCTAGGCTACGCGGCTATGCAGAAAAGGGACCAGAATTTTCAAACCCTTCCAAACAGGAGGTTCTGATTCGGAATAGGGAGGGTCCTGTGTTATGATAAACAACTGCATATTTCTCAAACAGTCCTGGCGCAGTTGTCCCTTCACCCTCACACAGCAAGGTTCCTTTCACGCTCTCTCTGGGATGCCGTCATGAATCCCTTGGCCCGAAAGAGCCCTGCTCTGTTTAGTAGACACTGCTGGTCAGCCATCTACATCTACATGAACGCTTTTCAGAACAATCCGTCATATGTTTCAGGCGATCTCCGCGCATGTCTTCATATCCCTGGATTGCCTGAGAGCACTTTTTCATGACGAACATGCGCCTTATCCGAACCCGTGAGATCCTGCGTAACTCCCTGAGTGTAAGGTCTCAAAGCTCGAAGGCTAAGTCTCAATTTTCAAGAGCCCTCAGTGGCAAACCCTGGTAATTAGCCTAAACCCTACACAGCTCCTAAGAACCTAGCGGGAAGGGACAGATGTGCTACAAAGGCACAGCCCACGAGAAGTTCTTTTTGCGCATTGCCATTGCACCAAACCAGATAAGCAGCAGCACCTGGGTTTACGGGTTTGCAGCTTGCTTCGCAAAGGGACCTGAGCAACTTTAAATAGTGCCTGTGGGCACCGTACACCATGATCAGACCGATCTTTCTGACTGTTTGGATGATGTTACTACATATTCAGGGCTTTTGCATTCGGAGGGGTGACGGCTGATGGTCTCGGCCTGAAAGATCACCATCTAACCTTTACAAGCTCAGGCTTCGGTGGTCCAGGGATCGAGGGTTTAGGGTGTACGGGTCTCAGTTTAGGGTTCAGGGCAGTGCCTGGTAGGAATTTGCACCAACCAGAGTTTACCTCAACCCTAATCTCCTCAAACCTAAGCAGGCGTCGACTTGGGAGCAAATCAGGGTTGATGTGCGGGTGATGGGGAGAGGGCATAGGGGATGACAGGGAATGTCTAGGGATGCACTACACAGAAGCTCTTTCGGATGCGAAGGGTTCCATTAATTTTGGGGAGTTCCACGTACATGTGAATGGAGGGAGTTCTAACACGGCTTGAGGCTCAACAGAATTCCAGGTGATCACATGGTTTTCTTGGTGGCCCGCCCCCCTACGAAGCAAAAAGAAGACAGGCTGAGGAGCGACCTGCAACCCTGAAAAGCAAACCTGTACCAAGGTGTATTCAAGGCTTGAAGTACATCAAAGTCACTTGAACCTTCCTGCCCCCTAAGCTCTTATCTGCAACCCACAAACCCCTATAGCTAAACCACAAGCCTCAACCCCTAAACCCTAAACTTGTATCCCTGATCCTTGAGGTCCTAGCTCCCTACTTTGCAATCCAAGGCGCCAGCGCTGAGATGCAGGTGACCGTAGCGAGTCTCTGATCTGGGCCACTCCATCAGCTTAAGGGTTTACATGGGAATATAATCCCTATATGGGCTTCCCAAAATATAGGGCTTATACAGGGGTATATGGGATTTAGGGTTTAGGGTTTCCCAAAGTTAGGGATACCTTTTGGGGTGTCCCAATAATGCGGACTATAGTACTGGGGTCTCTCTTGGGGTTTCCCTATTCAGGGAAACTGCCATTGAAGACATTGGAGAGCTTCAAGGACTGCTGCGAAGTAGGGGTGACAATTCCACTGTGGAAGAAAAAGGGGATTGGCGCATGCTGTGCTCTGAGCGTTGGCAATCTCGGCAGCCTGAGACAGAATACTGTAAAAAGAGGTAGCAGATGGAAGAAAAGGCTACGAGAACATGCCATGTTGAAATCTAGAGTCGACGCACCAAGTGTCAGGAACCAAAAGCAGCCATTGAATCGATCAGCCCAAAGCGATCCCTAAAGCCCCCATACCATGATCCAGGGAATGCTTGCAAGTGGCAGACCCTAGGCACAGTCTTGGGCCGGTTGTGTGTTTTCTTTTGGGGGGGTGGTTAGGGTTTGGGGATTTCAGGGTTCACGGTGCAAGGTTTGAGGAGTTAGGACTCGGCCCTACATTCCAGAACCTATGATGGCATATCCGCCGTGCTAAAGCACTTCGCAGGACCCTGCTTCTGTGTGGGAAATGATGTCTCAAGCGACATCGTGGAAGGCTTTTAATACATTAGCGTATGTACGGCTGTTTCCCGAAAGTCTTTGCTTAGCCACTCGAAATTTTCTGACCTTAAGAAACGACGGGGTTGATTCATACCCGATGGTAGCAGTATGTCGCTGCTTATGAGAGTACGGAACGAGAAACTGTTGCTGACCCGCACCCTACGGATCAGGGTCTGGACCGAATGCCCGCGCGCAATACTAAACATTGTAGGAAACATTTATATTGGATCCCTTGTTTATGCAAACTGCTCAGTCAACAAGCCCAGTAATGTTGAACACGAAGAACAGTTACCACTCAGGTAACAAGGGTGGTCATGTCAACCAGCAGGTCATTTTGTGTGTAGCGCTTTGACACCAGGCCCGCCAAAACAAAACGAAAAAGATAGTCCAGGCCTTCAGGCCTTTCGTAATCTGATGTCGGCTGGCGACAAATACGAGAATCATATCTAAAATTCCAACCTACCCCTCAAGGTTCCAACACCTAAAATCCGGCATCCTTAAGCAGACCCTAAACCACAAACCTCAAACGTAATCCCTGTGATGGAGCTGAGAAACAAGGTGCAGAGCCTGACTTACACCGCAGGGCAAAGGCTATGAGCCAGGAGCCCATCCTCAATACAAGGATGTTTGGGTTTATAGGTATAAGGGTAGTTTGGGGTTTAGGGGTTAGGTTTTAGGGTTTAGGGCTTGAGTTTGAGGGTTGAGGGCTTGAGTTTTAGGGTTGAGGGCTGAGATGATTTAGGGATTCGGAATTTAGGACCCAGTTTCAGGATTATGCCATTTACCTACAGAAGTACCCTCAAAATTAGGTATGATTACATGGTCAGCCCGTACAGTATGGATTTTGGCAAACATCCTGGCAGCATGTCTAAGCCCCAAACCCTAAACCAAGCGTACCGCGTTCAATTTAGTGGTATCGTCCCCCTTAAGTAGATAGAATATGGGGTATATGGGGATCTTATAATACTATACCCAAAGCCATATTCTATCTACTTAAGGGGGACTATAACAACAGGCCCCTCTTTGAGCCATGGCCATTCTTACGCTTTCTATCTATGCAATTGAGAGCATGACCCTAATTACCTTTTACTAGGTAGGCATGTTATCTAGAGCAATGACATCAGGATATTACTAAACCCTAAACCCTTAGACTCGGACCTGGAGCCTCTAAAAAAGGACCGCTCTGAAGATCTGGCATTACCACGGCTTAGGCTTTCTTAACTCCCTGGCCCACTCAAATGCGAGCAAAGTTTCATGAGTCCCGCAAACAGCAGGTGGATCCTCAGCAGAAACGCACAATAGCCATCAACAAAGAAGAACCCTGGTTCACTACTTGCAGCCTCAACCACATGTCTGTTTGAGAGTTCATGTGTATCCACAACAAAGGGCTGAAGACTCGGGGGGTTTTGGTGGGCCACTGCCCTGGTAAAGCCTCAAGCCCGAAAGCCCAACAACAAACACCTTGAAAATCCGATACCTGACTCACAACCCTAAGCTCCATCCTGCTTAACTCTAAGAAAATATCCCTTAAATCTACTATTCGATGGCGGGCGCATCCTGCGGCCTACAAGTTGACCCCACTCCTCGTAAGATAACACAAATGCGGGGTTTGTTCGGATCCCCTAACAAAGGTAGCAGTAGCAACCAAAAAGCAAAGGGAAAAGTAGACGCAGCCAAGGATTGTGAAAGACAGAGCGTCGGATCAACAAGTGTCCTGGTCTAGGGAGTCTCGGGCAAGTTTGTCTGTGTGATGACTGGTGATGCCAAGCTAGCTGGCAAGCCTGCCTAGTTCATACCGTCCAGAAAGGATTCCATGGGGGTCTTAGAGCTCACGGATTTGTAGATTGCTTACAGCAACGCAAGCCGGACATTGTGATTGAACATAAGAAATCTTCCTTGCGCTTCCTACTGGTGCGCCAGCGCTCTCTGGCTGACATGATTCATGATATCCAGAACACCAGAGACCTTCATTCTTGCCGTGTAGCTTTTTCTGTATAGTATCTGGCTGCATCAGGAACTTGACCAAACAGCTACGTTCCTTTTGAACTTGAAGGAATGTTCACTCAACATGCATGGTCTACGTCCTGGCTGTTAGCTGTTCTTTTTAATGGCTTAGGAGAACCAACGAGGACACTTGTGCCTTCGGCTGCCGTGAAAACATCATCAAATTCATCAAGCTGCAGCATGCTGAACATACCGCACCTTTTCAGCCTTTCGTGCGTTCAAGGGCAAGGATTTTGTGAATTGCTCACACTCCTGCTGATGACGACTACTACATTAGATCTCTCTTATCATTTATGATCAGAACTTTGTTCGCTCAGAACATGCTCGCGGTTCAGACAGGGGGTCGCGCCTTAGGGACCACTGGAGGCACGCCCATGCCTCCGCAAAGCCTAAACTGCCTGAAACGGTCAAAACTCTGCTGCTTAAATTTGCTATACTTGGCGACAGCCATGAGCTGCTCGCACACCCAAACTTACTGGTGGCTAGTAGGGAATAAGGGAATATAACCCCTACATTGACGCTATAGAATATATGGATTTCCGTTATTTCCTGAACCCTAAGCCCGAATTCCCTACAAAAATCCCTTGTTCCATACTAGCCACAGGTAAGGGGAGTTGTAATTATAAAGCCGAGGTGCGCCCGATTCATGTTCATAGAGACCCAGGCCATAGGAATCCTCGCTGGAGTTTAGGGTTTCGGGGAGGTTTAGGGTTTGGGGGTTAAACAGGGTTCAGGGTTTAGGGGCTGGAGTTTAGGGTTTAGAGGTTACTTAGGGGTGAATTAGGGTTTGGGGTTTAGGGGCGGAGTTTAGGGTTTAGGGGTTAGGGTTCAGGGTTTAGGGGGGCTTTTGGGTTTCGGGTTTCGGACCCGTAGGATAGTGGGATGGAAGGGTATTACTGGTCTCGGGTTCCGCTCTTTGCGTGTTTGTAGCCTATGGCTTCAAGGCCGTGGTTGTTTATACAAACTCAGAACAGGAACTCGAGCTTCCCTGCAAATGGGTAGGTGTTGACTGACATCCAAACCATTGCGTCGCCAATTCATCTTGCATGCCCAGGCACCCCTACCACATGGTTTTGCTCTGGTGAACACTAGTAAGAACAGCCCCAAACGAGGGAACAAATTGGAATCGTAGTACTCTTTTTAATGACGTCTGACATCGGGATTCCTTTGAGGTCATAATGACACCTTGGAAGATATTTTGGCAAAACGCTAACAGGCCTGTGAAATGCGGCTCCGGTCATTATGGTCGTTGCATGGGAAGTGCAAAACTGATGGTGGACAGTCCCTGCTCACCTGAACCTAACAGTGAACCTCCACTCCCCCTGCATTCATTAAAGGAAGGGATTGCACGTCACCCATGCTGGTGCCAACCAAGCGACAATGTTGAAACAAAGGCCTTTGAATGCACGCAAGACACCCGATTCGGAAAACAGGGTCCTTCTTTTGCCCTAAACCCTAACCCTCTCGGCGCTTGGGCAAGTCTGAACTGAGCCTCCTTGTTATCTGGCTTCTACTATTTGGGTTTACGGTCTAAGGTATCTTGGTTGCCGTCAAGTCAAGGGAGGCCTTCTTGAGAAGAGCCTGAGGAGCCGCTTCTACAAACCCCCAAAAAATGCCCTGGAAAAAGATGGCTTCAAATTGTTACGGACTGCAATTGATTTAGGGCTTAGGCTGTAGAACTGAGAGTAGGATTCATCGAGTAGTCGAGAGGAAGCCTATAGATGCAAGCTAAACAACACTACAAACCCAGGTCCATCCCAGATCCTATGGTGCCCATGGTTAAAGGTGCTGCCGTAAAGTTGCTGCCTGGCCCCTGCAAACAGCATGTTTTCCAATTCCTCAGGTTTTGCTGACTTGTGGGAGCTCCTTTGGTGTGGCTAGTCAAATCTAGCGTCATCGACACGCAGCCCACAAGGCCAGCGATGCGAAAGGCGCGAACTTCCCTGCAGGATTTGGGGTCTATAGTCCCCCTCAAGTAGATAGAGTGTGGCTTTGGGTGTATTATAATAAGATCCCCATATACCCCATATTCTATCTGCTTCAAGGGGACTATAGGTTTAGGTTTAGGTCCGGTATTTCACCCAAATCTGGTGGCTGTCCCCTTCCCAAACAAGAGTGGAGCCCAAGAAAGCTTTCCCAGCACAGCTTTCAGCACCCGTTGGGATTCCATGTTTTTTTGGCGGATGTAGATCAAGTTTACTTTGGCACGGGGAATGTTGTTTGGTATGGGGAGTTTGGGTCTTTCTGCAAAAGTAGATCTGATGTCAAACATGTGGGATCCTGAGGGTTTGGGGCTTAATGATTTGAAGCATTTCATAGCATCATCACTGTAACACACTCTGTTAACAGTCCTGCAAGGAACCAACCGTTACGACTCAAAACTAAAAGTCATAACCAAGTACCGTGTCCGCATGGAGCGGCGGGTAAATGCAAGTTACCGAGAAGCCTGGAAACATAGTTTTCTGAAGCCTTTTTGGGCAGTAGAAGATATAACAAACAACCTTCCTGCCCTTGACCCCCGCTCTAGAAGCTTGCCTTCACACGGACAAGTAGAACAACAGCGAAGGTAAGGCTCCACGCGGCCCTCAACCCCAACGGCGGAAACTCATGGGAGTCAGGAAAATCAAATGGCAGCAGATGGCCAAACTCTATCATAGCAAAACTGGAAGGAAACCGTGGATTGTTCCGACTGCGTGCATTTGCACTTCCCCGGTAAAACTAGCACGTGAACTGAACAATGTTACGGCGTCGGTATCTTGAAGAGCCCCAACTAGATGCCCGATGCAATCATCCGCAGACTCCCGTACCATGTGGGGACTCCTATCATATTGGCCCTCGAAATAGCAGGAAACGTCCCTGCGAAAGTTTGAATTTCGCGAAAGCTCATCCAGGCGTCCTGCTGGAGAGCGTGCTGTACTTCTCCAACACGTAGCCTGCCTTCGGCACCACGCCAGCTCAAGACTTGGAGGAGATCACTACTCACCAGGCCACTCTTGCGTTTGAGCCCTGTTGTGTTTGGACCCCAGATTATGGTCTCTCTCGTAAAGGCCCTGTCGGCCACTTGACGGCTGCAGCAGCTTGCCGGTCAGATAAGTCTCAAGTACTCGCCCCCAAATGCAAAATGTTGTTTTTTGGTTGATTGTTTCGACAGACCTTGCTGTTGCGACTGCGGTGATTGTGCTGGACTTTGCCCAAACTTGAAACAACCCTGACAACCTTGACGCTGCCCTCTCAAGGCGAAGGCAATTCAAGGGCGTCCAAGAAGCCCGAACTACAAGCGTGCCGTCAGCATTCTCACTCTTTGCAAGGTAGCCGCCGAGGAATGCTCAGTCCGTCATTGCTTCAGCTAGCCATAGCCGTGATTGAAACTCTGAGCCCTAAACCCAGGGTACTGCGACCTTAGAACCACTATCCGGACCTCCAAAGCAATCTAGAAAGTGGAGAGTAGCGGGTGTCTTATAGAGGTACTTCACCGCTCCATATCGCAGGACGTTCAAGTTGTCCTGCATACCTCAAGACTTCAAGATTAATCAATCATACTAGGGAGCCAGCAATCCTGCACGATGTCGACCGATACAAAATCTGTGGAATCCCTAGGCTTTGGAAGTAGAGTGTCGGGGAGTTGGGAAGTATGAACGGAGAGACCAAGACCCTACACCGCACAGGAGGCCCTTAACTCCAAGACCGACGCATGGTCAAAAACGGCTTCCCAACCGGCCTTCTGGAATGCATGTGCCATGCACAAGCTCGTGAACGTAAAGCCGATTCCAAAGACTGCATACCTCAAGTTTAGGTTTCAGGGATAACATAGGTTTATAAAGGCAATAATGGAGAATCAAATGGAAAATGAGATGGAAACTGCTATTTAGGGTGTAGGGTTTATGAGTAGGGTTCAGATTCAGATCATTCAGCGCAGATCCCAGTCGAGGGTTTGCGCGTACTGGTCCTAAGCACAACATCCGAAGATCCGACCTACGGATTCAAACCCTAAACCCTATAAACCCCAAGCCCCGTAAACATCCCTAAACCTTAAACCCTAAACCCTAAACCCTAAACCTTAAACCCTAAACCCTAAACCCCAAACCCTAAGCCGTATATCTCGGTTGACTGTCAAAGAATGCTCTCCCCACCGCCCCTGTAGCCTTGGCATGCAAAGCTCCTGCTCGGTATTCCTGCAAACACACAGGGGTTTAGGGTTTAGGGTGTGGGGTTTAGGGTTTAGGGTTTAGGGTTTAGTCTGGTCCCAGCTTGGTAGTCCCAAATTACTTGACAAGCACGTGACATTGTGAGACTATCCCCTGCTGTGCATCTATTTGAGGACTTGCGGAGGCAATGTCACCTTTGGCCCCCAACGAGCAGTGGGGGATGTGCTTTGTATGAGCTCAGCGTGTCACCAAACTCATTTCGAAGCGTCCAATGTGCAATGTGTTGTTGAATTAAGCATGCAAGGCTTTGGAGACAAGTCCCGTTCAACGGAGGGTTTGTGTTGAACACCGCATTTTCTTCAAACCCCCATGATGTTGTCTCATAAGCCAGCCACGAAGTCCCGACTAAAGTAACAACATCAAAAGTCAGCTACAGCAGCCTCCTCCAAACTAATGTAGTCGGGGAGTGTAATACCTTCTGTCCGTCCCTCCACTACAGCGACAAGGGAACAGTTGAATTGTAGATGCCTTTGATTTTAGGGCTTAGGGTTCACATACCCAAAAATCCAAGCCCATGAGGCTCGGGACCCTCATTGCCATTCATCCGAAACCCTCCTCTCCAAAGTCAATGAACCCCTACATCAACTAAATTTTGATCCAAAGCCCTACCGTCAGTCAGCATCCAAGCCTCTAACCTTAACCCCTAAACCCAAATCCACGTCCGTTATACCCTACATCCCACCCACACACACACACACACACACACACACACACACACCCGCACACACACACACACACACACACAAACTCGCCCTTGCTTTCTGTGAGGCACTCCGGCATGTATATCCTGACTTGTTGGCGGTTTAGGGTTTAGAGTTCGGGTTCCACTTGCCGTCGTTGGCCACCCAAAAAAGCTTGCTGGTTCTTAGCAGGGAACAAGGGAATATAATCCCCATATAACCCCTATATAATACATTACCATTTTTCCCTACTAAGAACCAGTAAGAAAAGTTGGCGTTCTGTGGGGTTCGCGTTGCATGTTGGGATGGCTGCTCAGGACTGTATGGGCTATAGTTTAAACTCCTAGTATCCCCTTCGATAACCCCGATGATGCTCCCCTATATCAACCCCCTATACAACCTTCTTGAGGAGTTTAGACTATAGCTCATATGACTGTCGTCTTGAAAGGGATGGCTGCGCCACGCGCAACCTGTCACGACAAAGACCCCACACCTATGTAGCCACTCTTAAGCAAAAAGGCCCTTGCCGGCCACAAGGGACTCCGAACCCAACTTACCTTTGTTAGATGGAAATGCAGGAATGGAAAAGAAAATAGAAACTCCTATAATGGGTTATATAGGTTTAGGGTTTCCATGTCATTCTCCATTATTGGAGCAAGGTACACCCGCTACCCAAGGGGAACCCAAAGCGGAATCCGCCACCAAGACGCCCTCCACAGGAGATGTCCTGGATCAGCTTGTAACGGCAGCCCCTGGTGCACACAACCGGGTGTAGGACTTAAGGGTTGTTTTGGGGTAATATAGGGATAATGGAAAATCAAATGGAAACTACTATAACCGGGTTTGTAGGGCAGCGGGGAGTTTAGGGTTACCACACCCCCCAAGCCTGGCTTCAGGGTCTAGGCTCAGGGTTCTCGGACTTGAGGGTGTAGACCCAAACTACATGGCCCCCCTCACAGTTGCTTGCAAAAAAACATCTCTGCCGAAGCCTGTGGCACGCCCGCATGACATGCAATCAAAATCCCTCACCAAAAGCACGGTGATCTTCTTTGCTTGCCAGACCTCTTAGCTCCTGAAAAGCACGACATGTTCATCACAAAGGGGTCTGCATAAGAGGGACTGCGTAAAAGCCCATACCAGCTCCATGCTAGCTGCAGCAATGGCACGACACCTCGTACTCTGGGAGGACCTCATGGGTGCCCCATTGCGACCGGAACAGACTGCGAACTACTGTAGAATGTAGGGTTCACGGCTTAGGGCCTCGGATAGTGAATAGGGTATGAAAAGTTAAAAACCAAATGGCAAAGCGAATGGACAACGAAATGACTAGCATTCAGGGTAGAAAGGGCGAGTCAGGGATTCAAGGTGTCTGCAGTATCGGTAGTATTCTGACACGACTTAGTGACCGAGCCGTCCTTCATTCCCCTTTGACCAAATGAGGGCTGAGGTTGTTTGGTTAAGCATAGATAGCCAAAGAGACACAAGCAGAAGAAATAAGCGGAATATGTACTGATCATTGCAGCCTGGTAGCCCACTTGCCAATGTGCCCCATATAGATGGCAGTGAAACTTGTCAGAAGCACTGTTGCTGTAGCGACCTTGGCAGCGGTACACTACTGATGTCTCACCTCACCATTGACTGGGAACCGCCTTCATCCTGTGAGAGCCTGCTTAACTTCCAATTTCTGCTATAACTATGTCAGGTTTAGGGTTTGGGGCTTAGGGTTTCGGGTTTGGGGCCTAACTATCTTAGGGATTTCTGGCAACAAGTTCGGCAATGTTCAGGCTTCTACGATACAAAGACCAGATGTAAAGGTCGGCTAAATTGCCATCCGCAGGTGTCCCCTTGTAGTACAGGGCTTAGGGTTTAGTTTTTAGAGTTTAGGGCATAGGATTTCTACTAGTGATCAATCGTGGAAGCGGACATCGAAAAAATACCAGGAACCTGTACCTGGTGATTTAGGCAAGTTGGGGGTCCCCGAAGTTTTGGAAGCCCCCATGTCCAAGGAAAGTCTCATCGCCATCAGTAAGCGCAGCAGGGTTGAACTCACGAGGCTTCTCGAACCTGTGGATTCATTCTTGGTGGTCCTTGCCCGAGCCTTGTGTAGTGGACAGGGGAATCTGACTCCAGCTGGGCACCCTAAACCCAAAGCCTTAAAACAAATTCAAACCCTCAGCACTAACCCCCAAACCCCCTAGACCCCAAAGCCCTAAACCCAAAACCCAAAACCCCTAAAAAACAAAGCGTCAATCCCAAACCCGAAACCCTAAACCCAGCACCAAAGGTCTGAGGTTGCTGCTGCTGCCCCAACCTGGGTCCCAGCTGGGAATCTTTGAAACCATTTAAGAGAGTTTATAGGGGTTATACAGGGGTTAAGTATGTAGGGTTAAGTAGAGGATATGTAGAGCCCTTACGGTGGATATATCGGGGTTTTCTAGGGACATTCAGCGTGCTACTTGCTGCGACTAAGGATTCACACCAACGAGAAAAAAGCTGCAAAAAATGCACAGCAACTTTGTGGGCATCGTTCTCGAGACATGGCACGATGGTCTCGGTAGTCACCATGGCTTCGTCACGGCGACAAAGGAGGGAGCTCGCTTTTCAAAAGCCAATGGGCTCTTAGTTGGCAGTTGTGCTACATTGTAGTTTCCAGTTTCTTCTCCATTCTTGAACCCTAGATGCTTGTTCCCACTCTCTTTTCCATTCCTATTATATAGGCATTCCTGATTTCAGGCTCTTATCCGGGCTCCCAGGCACTGGGATGCAGTTCTGCATGGTGTCCAGCCTGTCTGTTTGCGTCAGCTTTGTCTTGGAGATTCAATCCACTGGAAGATAGGAGTCCTTCGTTGCCATGCGGATTCTTTTGCGGTTCTACTATGAGAGAGGCCGCTGCGGGGGGCAAGCCTTCTTTGAGATGTCCAATCAAGACGGACGACCCGATGACTTGAGGTCCCACATCTGTGCTGAACTCCCAAGAGCTGTGTCCTGGGCACGTGGAACAAGTGCAATTTTTGAAAACAATGAGAAAGATGCATGACTGCCGGGTTTGCGGGCCCCTTCTTGGGAGCCCCTACGATAGGGATTGCCATGCATTTGGTCCATATTCGGGCTGCCCAATTTATGGAAACGCCCACTTAGGTTCCGAGGCTTGAGGTCGCTGCTGGCTCTGAACTTAGATGCAGAGGAAACACGGATTTCTGATTGGGACCGTTGCAGGGATTTCCATGATCATTGCCGCACCGTGATCAACAGGGAAAGCTGCGGAAAGCCGCAAAAAAGCAAGTTGCACAAATCCCTGGCTCTGCCAAATTCTGTAAGCTTTGAAGAGAGCCAATGAAGCGCAGCTACTATATGGTAGTTTCCATACTATAGTCCTTACTATTAGGGACCCCTAAAAAGTACCCCTAATTTTGGGAAACCTCCATATTAAACTCCTCAAATGGAGGTGGAAGTCTCCATGGATAGGGCCTCTAACCTAATTTACTATGTAAACTGGGCACTCCCCCCTACACAGGCCCAAATTCCAGCCTCCATGATGGACTCCATGTACTGATCCACAGGATCCTGGCATCAAAAAACACCAAGGATCTAGGGTTTAGGGTTTAGGGTTTAGGCATCTAGCGTCTAGGGTTTAGGGATCTAGGGTTTAGGGTTGAGAATTTTCTCGATTTCCTGCTACCTTCATGGGCATCACACCCGGTTTGACTCTAGGATTTGGGGTGTGTGGGTTCAGGGCTTACCGCTGAAAGAGTTTGGGGGCTGTTCAGGGTCCAGGGTACATGTTAGGTGGACCCCCCCACCCAGCAATAGTGAACATATTGCTGATTATACTATGGTCCTCTTATATTGCTATT